CTTCAAAGAGTCCACTGTTTGTCATAAGGCTTTCGTGCTATAAAAGGATGTGACTTATTATTCTGACTCTACCATTCTATTTAGGAAAAAAAAAAAAAAAGATGAAGTCCAGGTCTGCCAAGCACGTATAAAAATTTTAAATACACAGCCAAAAAATGTTTAATAACATTTCAAAGCACTGTCTTCGTGTAAAACATTTTATGTAACCCATTCTCATTTCAAGATGAGCAACTACTATACAGAACAGTAACCTTACTGGTTTATTTTAACAGGTGAACATTCATTCTCCCCAGTATTTGGATATTAACTTTATTCTTGGTAAACTTCTTAATTTATGTTCTTAAACTTCTGAACATATGGTAACATATTAACATATGTTAATTTAACATCAACATTGTCCTTTTATGGCAAATATTAACTTAGAGTCACCATACATAAAAGTTTTCATTTAATTTCTTGACTTAATTCATAACCACAGTAGATTAAAATAAGATATTGTTTACACTGTATTTTCAGTGCTTTATCATACTTCTTTAACTTATCAGTTACTTCATTTTGAATATTAGTGAAAATATAAACTTCAAGTATGACCTAGTACTGAGCACAACCATAAATGCTGTTTTCTACCATGTGCTTTTTTCCAGTCTCTGATATGGCAACGCAAATTCCAGCCCACACTGATATTAACTTTCTCCCCTGGGCCCTCTCTGGTGGCCCAAAGGGTTAAAGCACAGCACTATAACCACTGCAGCATGAGTTCAATCCCAGCCAGGGAGGTGACCCACATGGTGCAGCAGAACTCTCCTGTCCCGCCTGCTACTACCCTCAGCAATGTATTTCAGACAATCTGCCTTTTTTGCTCCCCAGTGTTCCTGGTGAATCCTCTCACCTTTTGAACCTCTGGCCTATATCCCAGTTCTTATATGCATAAATAAAAAATAAATCTTAAAAAAAAAATAAGGGAAGAAAACTTCCTAAAACTTGAAGGAAACAAAGGCACAAATCCAGGAAGCTAAAAGAACCCGAGGAACCTAAACAAAACAGGATCTACAATAAGACATATAGTATTTACACTCCCAAGAGTTCAGGATAAAGACTACTGAAGCTGGCAGGGGCGGGGGGCGGGGGGGTGGAGAAGCAGAAAACCTATAAAGATAACCTATTCAGGCTAACATTGGACTTCTCTGAAGAAATACATTGGACAAACAGAGAATGGAATAATGTATTACAAATACTTGAAATAAAGGCCTTTTCAGACCTAGAGAAACTCAAGTTTACAAACACGAGACCACCCATCCAAGAAATACTGAAAGGAGTTCATGCATTTAAACTGAAGAGCGGAACATTCACAAAGATCTGAATAAGGAAACAGACTGAGTCCCAAAAATTAATATGGCTGTAACATCAACAACCACTCTAAAGGTAAATGACTGACCTCACCAATTACAAGACACAGGGTGTCTAGCTGATCAAGAAATAAAACCCAACCTTCTGGTGTCTCTAGGGAACACACCTACACTCCAAAGACAAATACAGGCTCAAAGAAAAGGACTGGAAAACAACGTCGTGGGACCCACAAGAAAGCAGGATAATCATACTTACAGCAGACAAAATAGATTTCAAGTTAAAAAAGAGAACAAAAGGCAGGGAGGGACACTATGTAATGGTTAAGGGAATAATACATGAAGAAAACATAACACTTGTCAACCAGCGCTCACCAAATGAAGCAGCACCAAAATACACTGGGCAACTACTACCAATTCTGAAAACAGACACTGGGAAAAACACATTTGTGGCAGAAGACTTCAACGCTCCACTGTCACCAATGTACAGATCAACTAGACAGAAAATAAACAGGGAGACAATAGCTTAAACATAAAATTAGAAATATGGACCTCATCGATATTTATAGGGTACTGTGCCCCTCTTCCACCCAAAATAGAATATATGTATTTATTTATTTTTAATGATTTTACTTATGTATTTTATGCATAGAATAACTGGGGTCTAGGCCAGAGGCACGGGAGGTGAGAGGATTCACCAGAGACAGACTGGGGAGCAGAACATGTGAATCTACTGAACTATACTGCTAAGGGGAACAACAGGTGAGGCCAGAGAGGTTTGCTGTGCCATATGTGGCTTAGCTCCCTGGCCAAAGCTGAGAACTTAACCCCTACTTCTCCAGGGGACCCAGAATACATATTTATTTCTCACGCTCACATAGGCATTCTCCAGAATAGACCACATTCTGGTTCACAATACAAATTATTTATCAACAGTCATAAAGACTGATATAACTAGCACCTTCTCAGCTCCTAAAGGCATCAAGCTAGAAATCAACTATCAAAAGAAAGCAGGAAAATCCTTTTATACATGGAGACTGAACAAAAACTACTGGGTTAAAGAAATAAAAAAATACCTCAAGAAAATGATAATGAGGACACAACTTTCCAAAACCATGGGATGCAACAAAAGCAGTACTGACAGGAAGCACATAGCAATACAAGCCATATAAAGGAACAAGAGGACCTCGAATAACCAACCTTCTCTCTCATCTTGAGAAATTAGAAAAATTACAGACAAATCCAAAGTTAATAGACAGAAATAAAAATCAAAAGGGAAATAAATGAAACAGAAATAAAGGCAGTCCAAACAATAGAACCAAAAATTGGCTTCATTTATTCAAAAAATTAAGTAGTTAAACCTCTAGCAAAACTCACTGAGAAATCCCAAATAAATAGAATAAAAAATGCAAGAGAAATTACAACCCATGCTGCAGAGGACAGAGACTACTATAAACATATATGTACTAAAATTTTATAACCTAGAAGAAATGGACAAATTCTTAAAATTACACAATCATCTGAGGCTGAATAGGGAAAAAAGAGAAATCCTAAACAAATCAATCATAAGCAAGGAATTTGAAACAGTAATCAAAACTCTCCCAATAAAAAAAAAGTCCAGGACCAGATGGCTACAGGTGAATTCTACCAAACCTTCAAGGATAAACTAATACCTATCTTGCTGAAACTCTTTCCAAAAAAGGAAAATACAAAGAAATGAAAAGATTCCCTACTCATGAATTAGAAGAACCAACACTGTCAAAATGGCCATCCTACCCAAAGCAATATATGGATTCAATGCAATCCTAACAAAAACATCAATGGCATTTTCAAAGAACTGAAACAAATACTACTGAAATTCATATGGAATTACAAAAGATCCCAATCCTGACAGAACAGAAATAGATTCTCAAACTCTATTATAAAGCCATAATAATCAAAACATTTATAATCATTTAATAATTTCTAACCTGACTCCTGAATGTATTGTTTATTCATTTAATAAGATCTGAACACTCAGTGCTGAGCTTGTAGATACAGAGTCCATGGCCCTCAAGGTGGAAGAAACACACCAGTAGTAATAAGGGTGGGGGTAGGTTTAAGTCTTTTAAGAAATTATGAGAAAAAGAAACAATTATGGCAGGAAAAGGAGCACCAAGAAAAGCTTCATGGGAGAAATAGCATTTAAGTTGGGTTGGAAAGAATAATAGGAACTTTTTCATAAATTCAATAGAATTATAGAACTAGAAGGGACACACACATCATCAAGCCAGTAGTTCTTAACTGGGAGCAATTTTGCTCTGGGAGGCACATTTGGCATGTCTGAAGACACTTTTGGTTGTCTTAGAGGACCGGTGCTATTAGCATTTGGTGGGCAGAAGCCAGGGATGCTGTTAAACACCACAGCATGTACAAGAGAGCCTCTATCAACAATAATCAAGTCCAAAATATCAACAGGGCCAAGGCTGAGAAACCCTGAACCCAACTCATTACAATCCCTCATTTTACACAAATTATTAAAGTTGAATGGGATTAAAAACTTGTTAAAAGCCAAGATTGTGTGTGTGTGCATGTTCTATTATATGGGCCTCGAAATGCTATCTGGTGTTTATTTACAACACATACCCATGTATGTTATTATACTAAGAAATGATGTTTAAAAGACTGGGGACATTTTTTTTTTAGAAGGTGGAAAACAAACTAGAAACCAAAGCTGGTATGTTATATAGTTTTTCTTGATACTTACCTGCCAACAGCTCGAAGAATTATGCCATAATACCAGTTTTAAAAGTATATATTTATCTGTTCATAAATCTAGATCCATCTAGATCCATAAATCTAAATCCATCATAACTCAGTTAGAGGACATGGATTTGAGAGTAAGAAAAATTACCTGGAGTCTAGAAAGCTAGACTATCAGCATAGGCACTCACCTAGTTACTAGCTGAGGGCACGCCTTTCAAGCTACAGCAGCTCCAACCATTGAGTCTCCGACCCAGGTGCTAAATTACCCTCCCTTAAGCTGGTGAGGTTTCTAATAATAAATGAATAATACAAAGACTTTGCTTACAGTCCTGATTTAGAGCCTAAATCTAAGCACATGAAGTCATTAACATTTTTTTAAAAGATTTATTTATTTATTTATATGGAACTGGGGTACAGGCCAGAGACGCGGAGGGTGAGAGGATTCACCAGAGACAGAGTGGGGAGCAGAACAGACAGATCAATGAAGTACAATGCTGAGGGGAGCAGCAGGTAGGTCAGGAGAGGTCTGCTGCGCCATGTGGATCTCCTCCCCGGCAGGCAGGCGAGAATCAAACTCATGCGGAAGTGGCTTTTTAGTTTCTTAGTGCTGTGCTTTAACCCACTGGGCCACCAGGGAGGGCCCGTCATTAACATTTTTAATCATTAACATTTTACAATTCAATAGCACTGAGAATCATAAAATATTAGAACTAGGAAAGGGCCTAACAGTTCCAGTACATCTTTTATTTTGTATTCTTGCTCTGAAGTGCACAAGAGTGGTAACGGCAACGAGGTAAGGTACACAAGACATGTCATTTTCAAAGAAGTTTTTTCTTCTCATGTCCAAGAAAACAGACACAGAGATACATATACTTCTAGAAATACATAATCACAGAGATATATACTTCTTACCTCCAATTTTTCAATTGGTAAAACTTCAATTAATATATCTTGTCCAGTTTGACATACAACTCAGTGAAATGTTTGAAGCAAAGGTTGGAGAGTGAAGATACTGTCCTAAAACAATGAAAGACCAAAGTAAGGGTATAAAGAAGACAATTTGTGCAAGTGATAGGGTATGAACAAAAGGTCATGAAAAAGCAAGCAGCCATTTCTAGACCTTTACTACCTGAAATTGCAGTGGATGAAGTTCGAGTTCCATGGATCCTAACAGGAAGTACACCTGGTTGCCCGACTACCCTCCCCTCTTTCTGTAGTCAGTCACCTTTAGTGCTCCAGGCAGAGTTGGCAACAGCAGAGGGGATGCCAATGCTTTTCTGAGGGTTTGGCTTTAGAGAAACCTTCAAAGAGGAACGTTCAGTGGAGCCTTGTAAGACCATCAGCGGTTCCTCTGCTCCCCACCATTAACTTTTAATGGGTCATTCACAAAACTGTGCTGAGCCCTTTAAGGGCCATAAATCTGTAAGTTTAAATGACTGTTCTGAGTAGGATGTATTCTCCAGTAAATTATTTTTTAATTTTCATACCCCAAATGAGTACCACATCTTCATTACAAGGCCCAACAGCGAAGGGGATATACAGTTGTTATTTTGTCATTCCCCCTCAACACACACACTTTCTTAATGCAATTAGAGCTACTCAATCAGGCCTGGGATAGCCACCCTAAAACTCCAACCACAAAATCACCAATCCATCACTCAAGATTAACTTTATATTAGGGGTGTAATGTGTAACATAAGGACTACAGTTAATACCGTTAATACCACTGTAAGATACACAAGAAAGTTGTTAGAGAGTAAATTCTAAGAATGTGCATCACAAGAGGAAAAGTATTTTACTTATTTTCTGCTTTTTAATGTATCTATATAAGATGGATGTGAACCTATGGTGATAATCATCACAATCTGTTGAAATGAAACCATCACACAGATTCCTTGAATTTATACAGTGATGTATTTCAATTATTTCTCAATAAAACTGGGAGAAAAAAAAAACTTAACTTCCTCAAGAAAGAAGAAAAGTACTCTGTTCTATACCTTAGGGAACTAATAGTCTCAGCTAAAGAAGAAAGCAGAGTCTTCACTGCTCCAATTGGGAATCTTAACTCACGAAGTGACTAGGTATTTCATCAGATTGGTCCTAGTGAGTAAGGAAAAAGCTCTTCCACATAGAAAAATTTCAGCTAATAATGCAGTAGTGACCAAATGAGAACAATCATAATTTTACAACTTTTAATTAAATAACTATTCCATAAAGTGGTAACCAATGGACATGAAAGCATAAGGTGAAAAGTGGTGTTTTATGAAGGGATCACGTTGTTAGCACCTGAACTCTCCAATGAATCAAACAGACTATAAAAAAATATTTTAGACAACTGGGAAAACTTCACCATGGTCTAAGTACTGTGTAGTACATGTATGCTATTAGGAAATCATCAGGTGTATTGTATCTAACAATGCATTGCAACTATATAGAAAAATGTATTAGCTTAAAGAAGTATTATTTAGGGATGAAACAATGTCTTAGATATGCCATAAATGCTCAGCAAAAAGAGGTAAAGATAATAGTGGAATGTTGTTGACTCTACATTTAAAAAACTAAAAAAATTAAAAAGACAAACAATTAGGAGTCACTATATAGTCCTTTAAGAAGAAAAGCAGCACTATATTCAAATTAATCCTTGAAGCTGATGACTTTCATTATTTTGTAGAGACTGTAGGAGAAGAAGCTAGAGAGATAAAATTACTGAGCAGGTTCTGAAGGCAGTCCAAGGACAAAATCCTCAAACAAGCAAACCCATTAAATCAAATAAAATGTAACAGTAATATTACGATTGAAAACATGTTAGTGGGGCCTTCCCTGGTGGTGCAATGGGTCAGGATGCAGCACTGCAAGCCAGCTGCAGCTGCCTCAGTGCGAGTTCGATCCCCAGCCCCGGAGGTGATCCACATGGTCACCTGTCTTGCCTGCTGCACCCCTCAGCAGTGTACTTCGCTGATGTGCCTGTTTGCTCCCTACTCTGTCTCTGGTGAAGCCTCTTACCATCCCTGCACCTCTGGCCTGTACCCCAGTTCCGTATGCATAATCTTTTTTTAAAAAAGAAATATGTTAGCTATTATATCAACATTATAATCAATACTTGAGTATATTAATTATAATATAAATTTAAATACTAATTGAAAACACATGCAAAATGTTGCAATAAGCAATAAAGCAAAAGTGGTAAACCTAAGCCACTTCTTGAAGCTTGCTCTTGAGCTGGTGAAAAAGAATATACTCTGTACCTTGGCAAGAAAGTTCAGAGAAGGGAGATGGATTCAGGGAAAACAAGTTTAGAGTGGCAAAAGCAGACAAAAGGAAAAGATGCAGAATTAAATAGGAAAAACTACAAACGTTCTGACTGAGGAAATTCAAAAGATATTAGTACTAGTTACAGTTCTAGCAACATTTTAAAGCATGACAGATGTGTGAGTAAGACAGGAGAGAAACCTAGTAAATGAACTTTCAAGAAAAGACTCCTTTGATATAGATTAAAAAATAGTCATTGTAAATTTGAAGAGGTGTCATCCTTGTTCCCTAAAACATGTGGTAAATGAATACCATGTGGCTGTGTATGCTCCAAGTAAATAGCAGCATTTGACATTCACAGGTCTAGTGTAAGACAACCACTCAAGGTTACCACGGCAAGGAGGTTGAAAATGAGATGTGAGCACCTTTCAGAGGGAGAAGCACAACCGTGCACTTACTCAAATGCTGGGGCCAAGACAGAAATACTTTTTGCTCTTCTTGGCATTCAGAGTCAAAAGAAAGTTACAGGTTGATCTCAGAGGAAACAAGATTTGGCTAGGATCTTATCAAGCCTGATTGGAGAAGCAGGAAGGGAAACCGTACAGAAAATACCCAGTAAGAGTTGAGAGGGGATGTGTTGAACAGTCACAGTAACAGTAACAAGAAAGGTGGCTAATGCATCAGAAAGCAAAGGGGCACCTTTTAGAAAAAGAAAACTGAAGCATGCCATCCCCACATACATGCACTAACTGCATATGTGAGGATGAAGAAGAACTAGTGACAAAATAAGCTGTTAACAGGGTAGAGGGGCTAACAAATTGAAGAGTCAGTTCTAGAAATGGGGTGGGGGCCAGTGAGGATAAGGTATGAAAGAGTAATCCCCCAACTGTCTCAACCTTGAGGGCACGTCATGAGATCATTTTATTACATGATTTGTGGAAAGAAGTAAGCATAATATGACAAAACTAAAAAATCAGTGAGCATCTACACCAGCATCAACTGGACACAATTGCTTGAAAAAATGTTTTGTTTTTTTTTTAAATGTTTTTTAACAGTCAAAGGCAAAGAATAAATGCCATTCACCAGGTATGAGGTTCATAGACAAGTTGCTTTACCTCTCATAGGCTGTTTCTAAATCCTTCACTAACAAAACATCAGTCACATCTCATAAGGCTACTGTGGGAATTAATTCACATAGAAGGGAAATGTTTGTAATTTGTAAAACACCATATTAATCATCAGGTTGCTTGAGAGCACTTATATGGCAGCATACCTAGGACTCTCAACAGAACTACCTCTTATAGTCCCTATTCCACCAGGACAGACAGGTATTATATCTACATATTGGTACCTGAAAACAAATTAAGATGGTAAAATTTATGACTAGGAAAACAATCTTTGACATGGGAGGGGGGGTGTAGTTGATACTGCGCATGCCAATTTCTTTTTTTTTTTTTTAAGATTTATTTATTTGTGCATACAGAACTGGGATACAGGCCAGAGGTGCAGGGGCGGTGAGAGGATTCACCAGAGACAGAGCGGGAGCAGAACAGGCCAACTGACGAAGTACACTGCTGAGGGGAGCAGCGGCAGCGGGCAGGTCAGGAGAGGTCTGCTGCGCCATGTGGGTCACCTCCGGGGCAGGGATGGAACTCATGCTGAAGTGGCTTTAACTTCTTAGTGCAGTGCTTTAACCTGCTGCACCACCAGGGAGGGCCCTGTCCATGCCAATTTCAATAGCAATTAAGAGGGATTGTATGTTCTGAGAGTCATTCCAGACACTATTTTTTAGTTGAAACTTAAATATAATAAACCTGTTCATTGTTAAGATGTAGAAGCTGTCCAAGGTTAACAAAACTTCAAATGCTGCTGAGTATTTGGTTATGAAATTACAGTTACAAAGTGTTACCTTGAATTAAAAATGTACAAAATTACAGGGATAGTTATAAGAAACAAAACACAAAAAGGAGCTAAGTCTCAAGTCCAAGAGAAACTTGACAAAATCATTATCAAGCAAGTAAAGTTGGCCATAAAGAGCAAATGGAGGATTTCCTCTCTTGGTTGTGGAACATCAGGTAATTTGAACCAAATTTCCCACTGAAGACAAGTAATACAGCTGGACAAAATATAATGAACTAATTTCTTACAGGATCAAAGAACAATAGGATACTGCTTTCAGTTCTATTAAAGGACTGTAATTCAAAGAGGTGAACCCAGTAATCCAGAAGATGCTAGAGGTTAAACTGTCTGACAACCTGATAGGCTAAGAGAGAATAAAGGAAAGTTACCTTCCCTTGCTTCAGGTTAGGAACCTGAGGGCTGCATCTTCGAAATAAGGATGAACCAGAAATTATTCAGTTTAAACACTGAATGCAACTTGGCCTGGAAATCTTGTTGGCCTAGAAAAACCTTGAAAGCTAAGAGTAGACCAACTAAGCGATGCTGAATTCCTTCAAACAGATGTCCCCACCATGCCAAAAAAAAAATCTTTTCTGGAAAATATCATGCTGAATCTCAAATGTTTTCTCAAATAATTTTTTCAAACTCAATGTCCAGCCTACAATTAAACAACCAGGAACACAAAGAGATGACAGACTAAGACCAAACAAATAGAAACAACAAAATAAGATAGGGATTCCAAACACTGGAGTTATCAAACACAGAATTTATTCTTACTTTATACAGAGATAACATCAAACTCAAAAAATCTCAGCAATGAACTGGAAACCATAAAAAGTAAAAAAGTAGATTTTTGAAAGAAGAAAGAT